AATCTCAATCGGCGCAGTTCGCGGGTCCTCGTTTCGCAGAGCTACCGATGCGATCTCCATTGGATCGATCGCCAGAAGATCATTAGAACAGTTAATGGGCTAGCAAGATCAGGGATGTTTGATACTGCCGCTTGTGTTGGCCACGGATTGCTTCGACCTCTTCCAGCTCACCACTGGCGCGGAGGGAATTCCAGTAGACAAGACGCAACGTTTGAGTATCCAGAGTCTTCGAGGACTTCGTTTTGCTGGGCGCGCGCGGCGAGTATATCATTGGCCCACTGCATTCATGATAATGGATGCAGTGACAGAACAAGGTTTCTTTCAGCAGATGCTGGACTCTTTGATCAGCAGCAGTATTTGACGCGCGGGACATCCCGAGATTGACCATGGCACCGAGAACAAGCTATTCATGAGAGAGCATGTTTTGATACGTATTTCAGCATAATCGTATCTCATCAGGTTAGAGGAGTTCCAGATTCAAGAAGCACTTTCATAAATTCGAGGGCATTGTGAAGGTTAAGTGCGAGGCTTGACAGGTCTGGCTCTGCTTTCGATCAGTCGAGTCCTGGGGTAGAGTGGTCGGGTGGATTGATACAAACAAGTTTTTTTTTTTTTTTTTTTTTTTTTTTTTTTTTTTTTTTTTTTTTTTTTTTTTTATATATTATATATATATATATATAATATATTATATATATATATATATATATATATATATATATATATATAACTACCACTCTATGGTTTTGTAGCTTTTATCTGGCAGCCGTAGAGGCACACAAACAGAGTGAGATTTACGATCCCTGGTAGGGTTGACTTGGGCTTTAGAAGCGACTTAGTGGGCGCCTCAGTTCGCCGCGGCTGGACGCGAGTTAGCACTTTTTGCTGCCATGTACGTTTGCCACATGCCCGCGTACTTTTTTCTTTCTTAGTTGCCACATGCCGTTGGAATGCGGGCTCAAGTGGTGGAAAGCCCGCTGGAGAAGGTGGAGGAGGAGGAGGAGGAGGAGGAGGAGGAGGAGGAGGAGGAGGAGGAGGAGGAGGAGAGGAAGAGGTTGAGGGGAGGAGTAGGGCGAGGATGTGGTAGAGGAGGTGAGGAGGAGGAGGAGGAGGAGGAGGAGGAGGAGGAGGAGGAGGAGGAGGAGGAGGAGGAGGAGGAGGAGGAGGAGGAGGAGGAGGAGGAAGGAGGAGGAGGAGGAGGAGGAGGAGGAGGAGGAGGAGGAGGGGAGGAGGAGGAGGAGGAGGAGGAGGAGGAGGAGGGAGGAGGAGGAGGAGGAGGAGGAGGAGGGAGGAGGAGGAGGAGGAGGAGGAGGAGGAGGAGGAGGAGGAAGGAGGAGGAGGAGGAGGAGGGAGGAGGAGGAGGAGGAGGAGGAGGAGGAGAGGAGGAGGAGGAGAGGAGGAGGAGGAGAGAGGAGGAGGAGGAGGAGGAGGAGGAGGAGAAGGAGGAGGAGGAGGAGGAGAGAGGAGGAGGAGGAAGGAGGAGGAGGAGGAGGAGGAGGAGGAGGAGGAGGAGGAGGAGGAGGAGGAGGAGGAGGAGGAGGAGGAGGAGGAGGAGGAGGAGGAGGAGGAGGAGGAGGAGGAGGAGGAGGGGAGGAGGAGGAGGAGGGGGAAGAGGAGAGGAGGAGGGGGAGGCTGGCGGTGGCGGCTCGCCTGCCGCTGCCGTCGATGGCGACGGTGGGGAGCAGCCCCAGGTGCCACAGGTAGCACTCGCCCGCCCCCCCCCGCACGGCGGTGGCCGCGCCGCTGCTCCCGCCCAAGCTCCTCTCCACAATTCCTCCAGTGCTCCCGCCTTCGGCGGTCACAGGTGGGGGCGAGGGGGAGGGACACTCAGGGTGGGGAGTTCTGCGAACCTTAGATATTCACCAAGGTCCACGGGCACAGGCACATCGGCACTGGGACCCCCCCCCTTAACCGCGTATCTGAGCTCTGGGCCATCACCCCAGCCTCCACAATCGCAGGAGGAGGGCCTCTGTACGAGGGGAACAGGCCCTCTTATTTTTTGCACGAGGGTTGCGGAAGGAAAAAGGGAGAGGATAATAATGATGATGATGATGATGATGATGATGATGATGATGATGATGATGATGATGATGATGATGATGATGATGATGATGATGATGATGATGATGATGATGATGATGATGATGATGATGCTGATGATGATGATGGTGATGGTGATGGTGATGGTGATGGTGATGATGATGATGATGATGATGATGATGATGATGATGATGATGATGATGATGATGATGATGATGATGATGATGATGATGATGATGATGAGGATGAGGATGAGGATGAGGATGAGGATGAGGATGAGGATGAGGATGAGGATGAGGATGATGAGGAGGAGGAGGAGGAGAAGGTTTCAGGAGGTTTCTGTAGGTCACCGGAGGTTCTCGGAGGTCCCCTGAGGGCCCACATATGGGTCATCATAGCGAAAGCTCGGAGCACCTCGACCATAGAGGATCGAGGAAGAGAAAGTTGGAGGACTTGGCACTGGGCTCGTAGTGGTCGCCCACTCCTTACTCGCGCTGTTCCTCATCGTCGCCGCCGTCTCGTTCGGCGTCAGTGGGCGCTAGAGTCGCAAGCTGCGTCCCCGTTCGAGGGGGAGGGTGGAAGAGGAGGAGGAGGCAACACGTTCGGCTCTCGAGGATCGTCGGCCCTCGAGGATCGGGGACCGACGCTGAGGAGGATCAGGAGGAATAGGATGGGGATGAGGAGTATATGAGCAGAAGGAGGTGAAGGAGGAGCGAGGATCACGGATGATGATTATGATGATGAAGATGATGATGATGATGATGATGATGATGATGATGATGATGATGATGATGATGATGCTCATGATGATGATGGTGATGGTGATGCTGATAGTGATGATGACGATGGTGATGGTGATAGTGATGATGTTGATGTTGATGATGATGATGCTAATGCTGGTGATGATGCTGGTAATTGTGATGGTGATGGTGATGATAGTGATGATGTCGATGACGATGCTAATGATGATGGTGATACTGTTGGACAACGATGGTGGAGATGGTGATGATCTTGGTGATGGTGATACTGGTGATGATGGTGATGATGGTCATGGCGATTGTGATGGCGATTGTGATGGTGAGTGTGGTGGTGATGATGATGATGTTGCTGGCATGATGATAGTTATGCTGGCGATGATGTTGATGGAAATGATGATGATGATCACAATGATGATGATGATGATGATGATGCTGATGATGATGATGATGATGACGATGACGATGATGATGATGATGATGATGATAATAATGATGGTGATGGTGTTGGTGATGATGCTGATGCTAATGCTTATGATGATGATGATGATGATGATGGTGATGATATTGATGATGGTGATGATGGTGATGGTTATTGTGATGAAAATAATGGTGATGATGATGCTAATGATGCTGCTGATACTGGTGATGATGATGGTACTTGTGATGGTGATGGTGATGACGGTGATGACGGTGATGATGTCGATGACGATGCTAATGATGATGGTGATGATGTTGACAAAGATGGTGGAGATGGTGATGTTCGTGGTGGTTGTGATGATGATGCACATGGTGATTGTGGTGGTCCTTTTCATGATGCTGATGACGATGGTGGTGATGATGGTGATGATGATTCTGGTGATGGTGTTCGTGATGGTAGTCATGATGATGATGATGATGATGATGATGATGATGGTGACGGAAATGGTGATGATAGTGATAATGTTGTTTATGCTGATGAGTGATGGTGATGGTGATGATGATGACGATATTGATTATGATGATGGTGATGCTGCTGATGATGATGGTGATGGTGGTGGTGATGATACTGGTGGTGAGGATGAGACGCTGATGATGCTTGTTATGATGATGATGATGATGATGATGATGGCGATGGTGATGGTGCTGGTGATGGTGATGGTTGTGGTGGTGGTGATGATGATGGTGATGGTGATGGCTATGGTGATGGTAGTTGTGATGGTGATGATGTAGATGATTGTGATGGGGATGGTGATAGTGATGGTGATTGGGATGAAGCTGGTAATGATGGTGATGATGATACTGGTCATTGTGATGGTGTTGATGATGGCAATGGCGATGGGATGATGTAGCTTATGCTGATGATGGTAATGACAATGATGATGATGGTGGTGATGATGAAAATGGTGCTGATGGTGATGGTGATGGTGATGATGTTGGTGAACATGACGCTGATGATGATTGTGATGACGGTGATGATGATAATAATGGTGATGGTGATGGTGATGGTGATGGTGATGGTGGTGATGATGAACATCGTGATGGGGATGCTGATGCTTATGATGGTGCTGATGATGAATATGATGCTGACGGTGATGGTGGTGATGCTGGTGATGATGATGATGGTGATCGAAATGGTGATGGTGATGGTGATGATGATGGTGATGGTAATGGTGTCGGTGATGATGGTGATGATGGAGATGATGAAGATGATGATGATGGTAATGATGTTGGTGATGGTGATGGTGATGGTGATGGTGATGGTTATGATGGTGATGTTGATGATGCTGATTAGGACAGTGATGCTTGTGGTGATGATGATGATGATGATGATGATGATGATGATGATGATGTTGTTGTTGATGATGATGATGATGATGATGATGATGATGATGGCGATGGTGATGGTGATGGTGGTGCGATGATGATTGTGATGGTGATAACAATGATGATGACGATGATGATAATGATGATGCTGACGATGGTGATGGTGAAGGTGATGATAATGGTAATGACGGTAATGATGATGGTGATGCTGACGATGATTGTCATGATGATGCTGCTGATGCTGATGATGGGATGAAGTTGATGATGCTGATGGTGATGCTGTGTTTAGTCGTAGACGTTAATACCCCTCGGCCTCTCCACGCCCGCCATAACATTCAGCCTTGCGTGCCTCCGCTACCGCGGCGGCTCAAGCCCACGAGGCCCCCGCGCGGCCGGCCTTGGATGGAAGGCGGGCCGCCCTCGCTGTGGGCGACGCTCGTGACGACCTGGAGCGCTACTCTCGGAGCCTGCTGGTCCTGGGGCTGGGCGCAGACGCCCTCTGTGCCAGCCTGGGTGCCGCCCCCTTCGCTGGGTTGCGGCGCTGAGGACGGGTGCCATTGCTCCTGCGATAAGGAGCTGCGACACATCATGGACCTCCAGGCGGAGGTCTGGGCGCTGAGGTGCCTGCTGCTCGCCGGGCTGCTGCTGCTCGGCTTCGCCACCTCGACCGCGGGCCTGCTGGGTTTCCTGGCGGGAGTGTGCCGGCGCTGCGGGCGCGGCGTCCGCGGGCGCACGCCAGGCGAGAGAACTGCGGCTGCCGCGCCCGAGCGCGAGGAGAGCCCCCTGGCGGTGGCAGCGGGAGGCGCCGGCCCTTTGACGCGTAGTCGACGACATGGCTGGTGTGCTGACGCTCGATGTGGGGGACCCGCAGATCCTGGTGCGGTACGAGAACGATCCGCACGGCTTCTTCTGGCACCACAGATTGCTTCTGTTCAGGGTGAGCGATGACATGTGGATCTGCCTCACCCCTGATCACGATTTAGTTCGAGTCAAGCTGCTGGACAGTCGCCACGAGGTGCTTGAGCGTAGAGCCCCCTTCCCAGCGCACCTGGCAAACCAGGTGTACGCCCACGACCCGATCGGAGGGGCGGCACTCGCCGCTTTCCGGCGCCGAGCTCGGCTTCGGGGCCAGTTGCTCGGCGTCGGCCAGGTCGACGCGATCGAGTGCATGATCTGGGTAGTGGCGGAGCCTCTTTCCCACCGGTTCGGGGAGATCATCGACGCGGCGCTGATGGACGACGAGGGCCGGGGGACGGGTTTCGACCAGAAGGGCGTGGCAGTCCTTGACGGTGAGGAGTTCTTCGTGCAGAAGATCGCGGCCAGCGGCCTGGCCGACTTCAAGAGGGGCGCGAAGGCCGACATGGGGGACGTGCGCACTCTGGGCGACCGCCACGACGAGGTGGGCTTGCGGACTCTGCGGCTGTCTGAGGCGGTGGCGCTGATGTGCGACGTCGAGCAGCCGAACTTCCCGCTCGCTGGAGTCCGGAGCGTGAAAGAGTTCCTGAACAGCGTGGCCTCGGGGCTGGGGAACATGACCTCGTACCAGGCCGAGTGGGAGAGACTCAGCGGCGTCGGCGAGGGCTCAGCGGTCAACCACGTGCGTAGGAACCTGTGTGAGGTGATCAGGCTGATGCATTCCTGGGACCAGGTGGACGTCTCTATGTTGGCCTCCGCGGAGCTCTTGCTGCGCTGGCTGATCCAGGCGGAGATCGCGGTCGAGCGCAACCCGCGCCACCCCGATTACAGCGGCCTGGACATTGTCATCTCTGCGCCCGTCAACGCCGTCGGTCGGGCCTCAACCTCGAAGTTCAACACCTGGGTCACGGATCGGCTCAAGGAGAGGGCGACGATCTGGAAACATGAGCGCCTCTACCGGGAAGAGCAGAAGCAGACCCGCAAGGGCGACGGCAAGGGCAGTGGCAGCCTCGACCCGAGCTCGAAGCGGCACACCAAGAAGTCGAAGGGGGGAGCGGCCGGCGCTGGTGGCGGCGCCGGCGAGGAAGGATGAGGCCTCTCAGGGCCGTGGGGGCCGGCGCTGGCAGCCCGGGCGCCGACAGACCCCCCCCGCGGCCGACGCCCACGTGGGCTCGCCGCCTCCCGCGCTGGAGGCATCAGGTGACGCGATCGCCGGCATGGAGACCCTTTCCCGCTGCACCTCCTGCCCACCGCTGTGCAGTGCTGGATGCTCCAGAATGTCGCGCGGCGGGTTGAGGCGTATGGGGATTGCCCGACTGACCTCACAGAGGAATCGTCCCTCGCGGAGATCCTCGACTCTAGAGGCCACTACGGCATGGGGCCCAAGAACCTGGCCAGCTTCGACTTCGACAAAGTCAAGATCCTGCATCGGGGAGTTCACGCTAGCGACCTGATCGAGAGAGACGAGGCGGAGGTAGAGAAGGACCGAGCCGAGGGCCAGGGGTTCTCGCCGTATTGGGACCCCGCTCTTCGGCGCTCGCGAGACCTGCGGAAGCTGCTGTATCAGCGTCTGAGTCAGCAGGGCCATCTGACCTGGCGCCGGCGGCTGAAGGGGCGCGCGGGCATCTTCGTGGTCAAGAAGAAAGATGGACTCCAGAGACTTATCATTGACGCCCGTGCGGCGAATAGGGCACATCGGCCCCCACCTACTACCCGACTGGGTTCGTCTCGTTGCATGGCGGACCTTGGCCTCTCCGACCCCCGCTTGAAGGCCTCCGGCTTCGGGGGGCTGGGCTCGGGGTCTGCTGCCGGCCCGGCGGGGCTGGAGGGCGACGTCGGGGGCTGTTTCTACAATTTCACGATTCCCGAACTGGCCTCCTGGTTCGGCTTCGAGGGCCGCTTCGACACCGCGGAGCTGGACGACGTGGGCTGCCGGCCCGCGACCGTATGGGACGACGCCGTGGGGGCCGAGTCCGTGGTCGTGGACGGCGAGACGCTACGCCCTTGAATGACAGCCGTGTGCATGGGCTGGTCTTGGGCACTGTACTTCGCTAGTGGGGCCGTCGCCTACCGAGTGGAGAAGACGCTCGCCGGCGGCCCCGACCAGATCATGAGAGAGATGCAGCCTGCGCCCATTTTGAAGCCCGGCAAGTGTGTGACGGGCGTGTATGTGGACAACGTGCAGGTGATCGGAGGCTGCAAGTCGGACACAGTGAAACAGATGACGGAGATTGAGAACAGTTTTGGCAAGGACAACATCCCGTTCGATATCGAGTCGAGCGGTGAATTCGAGATGCAGACGCTTGGCTTGGTGTATCACTGGAGGGGGCGGCGACTTCGGCACGTGACGCGACGGGTCTGGCGTACTTACTTGGCTGGGCACGCTCTCCTGCGACGGCGCAAGCTCCACGGGCACGCCCTCCAGTGCTGGTTGGGGCGCGCCGTGAATCTTAATCAGCTCTGCCCCGAGGCCGTGTCCGCTCTGAACGCCTGCTGCCGCTTCGTCGACGAGGCCCTGGAGGCGCCGAAGCGGACGTGGCCCTCAGTGAAGTCGGAGATCCGCTGCGCGATGAACCTCCTCTTCCTAGTGGAGGCCGACCTCGGCGCCAAGTTTTCCGACGAGGTCTACTGCGGGGACTCCTCCACTCGCGGCTACGCTCTGCACGTGGCGGTGGGGGGGCCCGACGAGATCCGCGAGGCCTGGAAGTTGCGGGAGCGCTGGCGGTATCGGGACGTCTCGACGGTGGAGGGCCAGGTGTCCGAGGGCCTCGACTACGTGCAGGGCGGCGCCCCAGGCTCCGCTGCTGGGCCGATGACTGCCTTCGGCCAGGCCCTTCGCAGCCGGGCGGAGGCGCGCCCGAGGCCCCGCGGTCGCCCGGCGGCTGGCATGGTGGGCCGCGCCAAAGTGATCCTGGACTCGGGGGTCCCCGCGCTGGCCGACGGCTGGACCCGCCGTCGGCGCTGCCACTTGGTGGCGGCCGACCGCTGGCGCTGGCAGGACGAGCGCATCAACCTGAAGGAGGCGAGGGTGGCCCTGATGGGGCTGCGGCGACACTGCCGATCCGTCAGGCTGCTGGGTTCGAAGCTGCTGACGCTGAGCGACATCCAGCTCGCCGTGGGGGCCTTCGAGAAGGGTCGCTCTAGCGCTGGCCTGCGGGCGCTGTGCAGACGGGCGGCAGCTTACCGGCTGCGGGGGCAGATCGCGTGGCGGCTCCGCTACATCGAGACGGATCGGAACCCGAGCGACTTCGACTCTCGCCAGTGGGGCACCAAGCGCACGACGGGGCAGCCGACCTTGGCGTGTGAGCGCCGGCCGAGGCCCGCGGCGCCGCCGGGCCAGGCGGCAGCAGCAGTGGGCCCCGCAGGGAAGGCGAAAGCCATCGACCCCCGCGGCCGCTTGTCCAGCGTCGCTGACACGCGCTTTTCTTTCGAGGGTGAGCTGAACGGGACTTCTCCCTCACTCCGTCATCTTCGCTACCGACGCCGGCTCCGTCAATCTCTCGCCCTGCAATTCAGAACGAGCCTGGTCACTCAGTTTTTTGTTTGGAGCTCTTTGGAGGCCAGGGGCAGTTGACTCGAGCTTGCAAGAGGAAAGGATTCCCTTTTGCCGATCCCGTGGACATCAAAGATGGATGCGAGTTTGATTTGTCTCGACGCACTACGCAACAATATATCTTGGGCCTGGCCCGCAGATGCCGCTTATTGGATGTGTACCTTGGGGCACCTTGTCAAGTCTGGAGTATCGCGCGCCGGGGCATCAAAAACCACGAACGAGCACGTTCCAGGGAACGTCTTGGGATGGAGTTCGCGCTGTTCACGGCCACGCTGTGTCATGTACTATCTCGGCGTGGGGCGTTCTGGAGCGTCGAGAACCCTAGGACTTCGAGGTTGTGGAACTTCGACCCTATCGCTCGGCTGCGTGGGCTCCCCGAAGTGGCGGAAGTTAATTTCGATATGAGCATGTTTGGCACGGCCTATCGAAAACCGACTCGGATCTTGACAAATCCTGGGACCTTGAGGGCGCTCGGAGAACGGCCTCGTATACCCCGCAAGCGCGCCGTGATGCTGCGCGGTCACCTCGCATCACAGGCCGCCGCCTATCCGTCCGCTCTGGGCTCATGTTGGGCAGACCTCCTCAGGGCCGCGCTCCCGCAGACGGCCTCCTCCGACGCGTCGGGTTTTGACCCGCGCGAGGTCCGCCATGGCCTCCTCCATGCCGCGGGCCGTGAGCCGAAGGCCGGAGGGCGGGCGCTGCGCGGCCAGGACACCAGGCCCCTCCAGGCCGACTGCCAGGCAGCCGACGCCTTCCTCGACGAGAACCCTCTCGTCCAGTTCGGCCAGGACGATAGACCGCGACGCTGGCAGGTCCACCCGCGCTGGCAGGCAGCGACCGCCAGGCACGGGCCGCCCGCTCCGGCCGTCGGCGCCGCGCCGAGTGGGGCCCACCAGGGTTCCCAGGCGCGTCTCGCTGGTCATGGCGACAGTCAGGGCCGCGGCCGGCCTGCGCGAGTTCGAGGTCTACGCCCAGGCCATGAAGCTCGGCCGACAACCGCCCAACCGCCTGGACGACAGCCTCATCGTGGACGACGTCGCGCCGGACTTGATGGGGCACAACTTGCCACTGATGGGCGCCGCCGTGCCGCTGCAGACGGATGCCTACACCCGGCCCTCAGAGGCGGTCGAGCTGCGTCGAGGCCAAATCCTGCCGCCGTCTCCGGCCGCGAAGCTCGGCGCGCGTTATGGCATCGTCATCGCGCCCTCAGAGCGGTGCGGGGGCGCGAAGACGGGGGGGCAAGACGACAATCTGCTGGTCGGCGACGTGGCCCGCCCCTGGCTGACAGATGTCCTGCGGATCCTCCGCCAGCCCAAGGCCGCCAACTCCCAGGAGCTCTTCGACTTCACGTTGCTGGAATACGAGCGGGAGATCAAGAAAGCCGCCGACCGCCTGGGCTACTCACCACTGGGAATGCGCCCGCACGTCTTCAGGCACTCAAAGGCCTCGAACGACAAGGTGCACAATAGGCGGACTCTGAAGGAGATCCAGAAGCGCGGCCGATGGGTTTCGTCCGCGTCGGTGGCCCGCTACGACGGCGCCCTCGTCTTGCAGGAGCTGCGCAAAATGCCTCAGCAGAAGCAGAAGCTGGCAGCGCGCAAGAGCAAGCAGTTGCCCCAACGCCTGTTCGAGCGCCTTCGTCACAAGTAGGGACCACCAGCACGTGATATGGGTGCGGGCCTGGAGGCTCGATACATCAGAAGCCTCCTTGATTCGTTTCAGGTGCTGGCCAGAGCAGATCACTTCTTTGGATATATTTGTCAGTGGTGTGAATGAGAAAGATGCCCACTCATATCCTCCAGCTTCGCTGTGATATGCACGTGTGGGCGTGGTTTTCAGGCTGTCTTGGGGTGTGTTTAATCGTAGACGTTAATGCCCCTCGGCCTCTCCACGCCCGCCATAACATTCAGCCTTGCGTGCCTCCGCTACCGCGGCGGCTCAAGTCCACCCGCCCACAGCCGCCTTCGAATTTCGATTGCATTGCTCGCAATTATGTTTTCCTTTGCCGCGGGCCTGGAGGCTCGACACATCAGAAGCCTCCTTGATTCGTTTCAGCTGCTGGCCAGAGCAGATCACTTCTTTGGATCTATTTGTCAGTGGTGTGAATGAGAAAGATGCCCACTCATATCCTCCAGCTTCGCTGTGATATACACGTCTGGGCGTGGTTTTCAGGCTGTCTTGGGGTGATGATGTTCATCGTGCTGATGATGGTGATGATGATGATGTCAACGATGATGATAATGATGATGACAGTGAAGCTGGTGATGACTATGATGATAATGATGGTGCTGATGCTGCTGATGATGAGGACGTTTACGCTCATGATGATGATGATGATCATGATGATGCTGATGATGATGCTGATAGTGAAGATGGTGATGATGTTGCTGATGATGATGGTGGTGGTGGTTGTGGTGTTGGTGGTGATGATGATGACGACGACGATGATGAGCACGATGAGGAAGTGGAGGCGGCGAAGGAGGAGTAGGAGGAGGAGGGGAGGCCGATAGGAGGAGGGAGGGGGAGGAGGAGGAGGAGGAGGAGGAGGAGGAGGAGGAGGAGGAGGAGGAGGAGGAGGAGGAGGAGGAGGAGGAGGAGGAGGAGGGGGAGAAACAGGAGAGGAGGAGGAGGAGGAGACAGGAGGAGGAGGAGGAGAAACAGGAGGGATGAGCGAGGATCACGGATCGAGAAGCGAGGTCTGAGGCTCGCCCTCCCCTGGCGACTTCAGGCCACCCGCCCGGTGCCGAAGCATTCGGCGAGGGCCCAGCGGCGAGGCGCGGATTCAGAGGAGGAGCGTGGGCCCCGTCGTCGTCGTCGTCGTCGTCGTCGTCGTCGTCGTCGGCGTCGGCGTCGGCGTCGGCGTCGGCGTCGGCGTCGGCGTCGGCGTCGGCCTCTGCGTCGGCGTCGGTCCGGCGTCGGCGCCGGCGTCGGCGTTGCTGTCGTTGTCCTCGTCGTTGGAGTCGGCGCCATCGGCGTCGTCGGCGTTGGCGTCGGCTTCATTGTCGGCGTCTTCGTGGTCGCTGTCGCGGCCATCGTGGCTGTCGTGGTCGTCGCGTCGTCGTATGATGAGATGAAAGAGGACCAGAAGGAGCAGGAGGACTTAGCGTTAGAGGAGGATTGTTGGGACGGGGGAAGTGGAGGGAAGGAGGAGTAATATTATGGGGAGGAGATCCCTGGAGTGCTTGAGAGGGCCCCCCAGAGGCATACAAATTATCCCAGTGCGACCCTACCTAGGGGTTGGAGCCCCTAGGAAAGCAGCATTAGTAGTAACAGTAAAGCTAAGCTAAAGCTAAGCTAAAGCTAAGCTGAAGCTGAGCGACAGTTAAGCTAAAACTAAGCTAAATCTAATCTAAAACTAAGCTAAAGCTAAGCTAAAACTGAGCTAAAGCTAAGCTAAAGCTAAGCTACACCTAAGCTAAAGCAAAGCTAAAGCTAAGGTACAGCTAAGGTAAAGCTAAGCTGAAGCTAAACTAAAGCTAAGGTAAAGCTAAGGTAAAAGCTAAGCCACAGCTAAGGTAAAGCTAAGCTAACGCTAAGGTAAATCTAAGCTAAAGCTAAGCTAAAGCTAAGCTAAAGCTAAGCTAAAGCTAAGCTAAAGCTAAGCTAAAACTAAGCTAAAGCTAAGCTAAAGCTAAGCTAAAGCTACGCTAAAGCTAAACTAAAGCTAAGCTAAAGCTAAGCTAAATCTAAGCTAAAGCTATGCTAAAGCTAAGCTAAAACTAAGCTAAAGCTAAGCTAAAGCTAAGCTAAAGCTAAGCTACAACTGAGCTAAAGCTAAGGTAAATGTAAGCTAAAACCTAGGTCGAGCTAAGGTTAAAGCTAAGATAAAACTAAACTAAAGCTAAGCTAAAGCTAAGCTAAAGCTAAGCTAAAGCTAAGCTAAAGCTATGTCAAAGCTAAGCTGAAGCTAGGCTGAAGCTAAGCTAAAGCTAAAGCTACAGCTAAAGCTAAAACTAAAGCTAAAGCTAAAACTAAAGCTAAAGCTAAAGCTAAAGCTCCCAGGGGACTGGGGGAACCGCGGGGCGGATACTGGGGGAACCGCCCGGGCCGGTTCCCTCTGCCCGGCCCTTTAAGCCAAGAGAGTAAGAACCCTTCTAGGCAGGGCCTAGGTAGGGAAAAACTCGGTTCTCGACCCTGGACCATCGAACATCGAGGATCCATGAAGCGGATGTGGATGTGGCGAATTTCAGGCCTCCGAACGGTCGAGATGGTCGCGCAGTCCTGACTTGGAGCCGAATTAAGGAGTTACTGGAGATGATAGGGAAGGGGAAGGGAATGGGGATTGATGATGATGCTGATGATGATGATTCTGATGATGATGATGATGGTGATGGTGGTGGCAATGACGGTGACGGTGACGACGATGACGACGACTGCGACGATGACGACGATAATGATGACGATGGCGATGATAATGATGATGATGATGATGATGATGATGATGATGATGATGATGATGATGGCGATGACGATGACGATGACGACGATGATGCTGCTGCTGATCATGATTCTGATGATAACGATGATGACGCTGCTGGTGCCGGTGATTGTGATGATGACAGTAATGATAATGATGGTGATGGTGGCGGTGATGACGATAATAACGATGATGACAATGATGATGGTGGTCATGACGGTGATGGTGATGATGGAAGGATGATCCTGGTAATGCTGATGATGACGACGATGATGATGCTGATGATGATGCTGCTAATGATGATAATGATGATCGTGATGATGAAAATGGCGATGATGACGATGACGATGACGATGACAGTGACGATGATGCTGATGATGATGATGATGATGATGATGTAGTTGTAGTTGAACATGTTGATGATGCTGCTGATGCTGATGATGGTGGTGATCATGCTGATGTTGATGATGATGAGGATGATGATGCTGATGATGATGATGATGATGATGATGATGATGATGCTAATGCTGATGCTGATGCTGATGATTGTGATGATGGTGGTGATGGTGTTGCTGACGACGAGAATGGTGATGTTGGATATGACGACGACGGATCATATGATAAGCGGGGTGGTGGTGTTGATGATGATGAGGAGGAGGAGGAGGAGAAGGAGGAGGAGGAGGTGGTGGGGGAACGAGAGCAGGAGGAGCAGGAACAGTATTAGCATGATCTGTGCCGCCCTGCTTCTTCTGGATGGGGAGGGGCACCTCTACTGTCAGCGGCGGCGTCGGCCTGGCGAACTCACCAAGGCAACTCGGTTGATGTCGTCATCATCATCATCATGTTCATTTACGTCATCATCATCATCATCACCATTTCTCAGTATTACTATTACCACGCGTATCGATATTCGTATTAGTATTGTTCGTATTAGTATCATTATTATTTTCAATATATTTACATATTATGAGCATTATTACTACTACCACTCTTATTATTATGATTAGTATCACTATTATTCTTCTTATTATTATTTCTATTCTGATTAATGTCAGCATTATTAGTATCATTAGTACTATGAGTATTATAAGTATTAGTAGTATTATAGTTTTTATGATTAGTATTGTTATCGTTATTATTATTGTTATTATTATCATTATTATTATTAGCATTTTTGCTTTTATTATTAGTATTCGTATTATTAGTAGTAGTAGTATCATTACTTTTATTACTATCAGCAGCATCATCATCATCATCGTCGTCGTCGTCGCCGTCGTCGTCGTCGGATGGGGGTGAGGATGAGTAGAAGGAGGGGAGGAGGCCTGGGATGATGATAACGGGGACGAGGAGGACAAGGCAGGACGAGGACGAGGACGAGGAGGACTCCCCACCGCCTGCCCCAGGACGGGCCCCCCATCGAGGACAGCGGCCGACCCGCCCCGCCGAAACCCAGCAGGGCCCCGATCTACGACCACGGGGGCGGCGACGAGGTGGCCCCTGGCGCGCCCGCGGCTTCCGCCCCGTCCCGTCTCTTCTCTCCTCTCCTTCTATCCCTCCGCTCCCCCGATGATGATGATGGAGGTAGTGATGATTATGGTGGAGAAGAAGATGGTGTTTGTGGAGTGCTCGAACTCTGGAGTATCTTTACCTGAGAGAAGTTAACCTCCAGCATCATGAACCTCCTGAGAAGGTTCGTGGTCCACTCGAGGATGCAGTCTGGCGTCCATGTCGGTGCCCAAGACGACCAGCGCCATCGCAACAGCCGCAGTCAACTTGGTCGCACGTAAGGTTGGTGTCGGCGCGTCGGAGAGGCAAACCCACCCCGACTTGCTCAACACCCGCGGTGCAGTAGTCCACCAGTCCACAATCACGAAATAATGAAGATGGTGAAAGTGGAACACCCGAACTGAAAGAGTAGAACCACACGTAGGTGAGCTTAACCACCACCAAGCCGATCAGCGCGAAACCGATCCTGATCTTGTTGATGTAGCGTTGCTAAATTGCCCCACCGGGGTACGCAAATGAGAATTGACCAGCACGAAAAGTGTAGATCGTGAGGACCTGCTTCGTGAAGGACGGCATTGAATTGGTGCCCCCAGTCGGGGGTGCATTGTGTGGCTTCCAGAAGATAACCAACGTGAGCGTCATCAGAAAGACAACGAGAAGGGCATTGTGTCATCAGGAAGACGAGACTAGCACTGTGCCCAGCCATCCCTTGATCCTCGGAGGACGG